AAGTATTCTTGTATAAGTGATAATTGCAATTTGCCACTAGAACTACCGAACGTGAACATATATCTATTTCTATCGAATCTTTAAACATGAACACCTTTTGAAAATATACAAATGTATAAATGAATTTATTTCTTCACTTACATACGGCAATGAAATTCGTAAAACATCTAAGAATACGTATTGTTGTAACATTTTAATCGTCGTTACAAGAGGATACTGACCACTCATTTCGACTCCATTGGTAATTCTAATGTTGAAGCAACACCCTGACCCTTCCTACTGCCTGAAAGGACATTCTGTTTTTGCATAATACAGGATGACCGCGCTATCACCAGCCAGCATTTCTTTCGCAAATAGTAAGTGTTAGAAAGAAATGGAAGAAGAAAAAGTTTTGCAGTTTTATATGTTTGTTTTCTAAAGGTCGAGACTAGTTTATTTAAAAGAAATAAAACACTGCACGCCCCGGAAAAACTATGGGCGTTGAAAACATACTTTCTGCGTGGTTTAAGGGCACACTCAACCAATGCTCTGGTATTTTATTCAGTGGTACAGTTGAAAAAGTAAAATGTTCGCCTTTAACTTGAAAAAAATCTATTATATGTAGATTATTATATAGGTTTATGCAAAAATACAAAAAAAATAATTAGTATGTAGGATTTAATTTTTTTTTTTTGAAAAATGAAGTGTTTCAAAAATTGTTGAAACAGATGAATCAAGTAAAAAACCAGTGCAATACCAACGTATTTTAGTAAAACAAAAAGCTTATCAGCATAAAATATAGTTACTCACCCATAAAATATCTTTTTAGCAAGAATAAATCTTCAAAAAATTTAATTGTATTGTCACTCCTAACTTTCATGAACTTCTTCTTCGGACGCGCCAAAACAATTCGTCAATCTAAATGTCATATTGAAAAGCGCGCGGATTTACTTTTTTCTTTTTTTTTTTCATACTTCGTTTGAATGGACCAAAGTAATATGACATATAGCCAAAAGTAAAACTTTCACTACGGTTAATACTTTAATTAGGAGTTAAAGACAGTGTTTCATTTTTAAAACAATTTTATTATTTTGTTTAAAAATCATTACTTGTGTTTTTGATATAGCTAAATAATATCGAAGAAAAGACACAATACTTACGACATTTGATTAAAACTTCAAGTCGTTCTAAAAGAAATTAATTTTGAGCCCTGTATTTATATTTTCTGAAATTTTATACTAAAACAGTAGGTATATTCAAAATTATTGACAAATTATTTACAAATAGTATTAAATTATAGTATTCTACCAAATATTTACTTATACTTTCTATTATATGGTGAGACAGCAAATAAATTCCATTGTGTGCAAAGAAATTGACTCTCAAATCACACATAAAATATACAATATTATTAAAAGAAACTTTCAAGTCGAATATTGGCAAAGATTAATAAATTACTTTTACAATGTGGTATTGAATCTCTAATAAAATTTGGTTGCCTTTGGTCTAGTATCCTTAAGAATTGGGTCCCTTATCTTGTTTTCACAAAGAGAAAATATGATATTTCGTTTCCAGGAAAGAAGTCTCTTAAGACATGGAGACGGAAGTCGGTTTGAACACGCCGACTACAAGAGACTTAGATATTTCTGTGCCACGATACTCGAATCGAATCGAATGTTTTTATTGTAGAAGGAAATATATGAATAATAATATTTTGTAATATTACATAATATCGTGTAATATATGCTTCCATGTAATGTAAGACGGTTCATTAACATTACAGCATATTAATTTTTGAATATTAAGGATAGAAAAAGTTCTCAAAGTAAAATAATTTTAACACTAACAAGAGTAATAACTTGATAAGCATAATGAAAATGAAGATATTTAAAAAAGGAACTATTAATGTGTTTTTTTACGAAATTTTTTTACGAAATTTTTTTTTTTATATTAATAAATAGATCGATGGAAAGTAGAACATCGTATAATGAATGCGTTCTCTAATGTTAAATTTGTTGCATGTTAACTAGTTTACATAATTATAATAAAATGAATTCCAATCATACACCGAATACTGTATACATCGTGATACATCAATTACGTACTTTAAATTCGATTAGATTTTGAAAGACTAATTGTGTCAGAAATAATTAACAATTTAATGTTGACTTGTAATATGTTAAACTAAAAATTAATAAAGTTTTAATTGGTCTGCATTTTTCGTGCATTTATGGAACACATAGTTTTGCTAAACTACTTTTTTGTATCCTATGAAAATTCAATAATTATAATTGAAACAATAAACTTATGTTGTCTACAAGCATATAAATATATTATGACGAAAAATATTAGATCTTTAGTAGTATTTCATTTACCTCGGCAGATCCTATAGCAGAATTGAATGTGATCAAAGGAATTTTACACAGTACCATTTAAAATACAATTTAATACTGGATCGTTAACTAATTCCATAAGCCAACTTAAGTTTTGATTAAAACCGGATCACAAAAGTTATTAAATGTTCTATGTCGATTCTGGATGGAGGCGAAACTCCGAAACTTTTAAATAACAGTTTCTACGTTTTATTTTTTATAAAATGAAGTTCAAACAGTATTACGTGCACACATTACGTAAAATACATATTTCTAGATTCTATATCAATTACAGTATATGAAAGTAATATTTACTTAACATATTTGTCGATATATATTTCGATATACATATATTTGAATCTCTGAGTTCCCTTTATAAAGCATTAAGCGTTGCATTTAAAATATTTTTCTCCTGTAAAATTATATTTATATAAAAATCCTTTTTTTCTTTCTCTTGAACTCATCTTTCTTAACTGCAATAGTTCTTCAAATTTCAATTTGCTTTGCCGAGAAATTGTCAAAAAAGTTTATTTCACAAGAAAATAATATTTGATCATCTATTTCTCTAGACTAGATTGAATACAAAATTTGCTTATTCAAGTGCACCGATCTATAGTACAACGTATAACAGCACTAACATAAACGCAATCACAGTTCGTTCTTAAAAGTTCGTTCTTAATGACCAAGTAGTCGGTGTGATAAACTGCACAATAAAAACAGAGGTGTTTTTTTAAAATCATGATTTAAGTTAACACAAACATTCCCTGGAAAAAAGTCAATATGATGTTAATTTAGTTGCATTGTAATGCAAAGTATTTTCCATCAGGCATCATGGTACACAAGAAATTAATACATTAGAATGTAAAAGTATAGTACGCACCCTGCTTATTTTTTAATCGTAAAACCTTCGACATTTACAATGTCAAACCCTTGCCAACTTTTTAAGCAGCTTACTGACGTGAAAAGGGAAAATAATCGAAAAGAAGCCATTACAGTCAAATAATTAAAAAAGCACTTTATGTGCATCGACTTTAATGGTTCCATTTGGTTAAAAATTTCCACAATACAGATTTAAATATTGCAAATAAAGAAGTTACATCCTTTCAAATGTTGAAGTTGTTTATGTATAGGAGTAACAACGTCCGTCAAGCCTATGAGCAAAAATCTGATGCACTTGAATCAGAGAAGATATTTTCAGTGTTAAAATTATTCATGCGTAACAATAGCAACAACTGCCCCTTCTGTAAGTAACTTTTTACTAAATTTTTCTTTCACTATCAACCACGTAGTGGAGAATTTTGAAAACTCTAGGCGTTCGAGTACCTTCAACTGACAGTAAATGGCATATTATTTCTGAAACGATAACAAAAAACAACATTCAGTTGTCTATTAAAAGTGTTACAAAGTGATCATTGTCGGATTATTCATCTTTGAGACGATTCGTCTGCAGTTAAGGGTTAAGGAAACTCTTTCAAATGATCACACTTTGACGACCGATGACACGACACAGGTGTCATGTGAGTGTCTACTGATATTTTTCAGAAGTTATTGAATTTTCTTACGTATATACCGAAAACCATATTTTGTTCATTGTTAATTAAAACAGTCGGCCATTGGTGAGTTACTGGCGAACCTAACCGATCGTCATAGTGTTAAAATTATTTACGCAATACGGTAACGACGGCTAACTCGACAAGCAAAAAAAATGCTCAGACAGACCTCTACGTTAACCCTCCGATCACGGAAACATGGTCACCGGTCCCTATGTCATTTCTGACCCCACACCGATATTCTACTACTACACAACGACAGCGAGACTCGAGCTCGAGGTCCTCACCGACACTGTACTAACACAATGCCGGTATGGCTCGAGCTCGAGACCCTCACTATTACTACGCAGTGGCGGTTGCTCGAGCTCGAACTCGAGCCACCGTCACCATGTATACAATGTAATGATTAGCTGGTTCCACATTACATTTGGATTTTCGTTTTTATTACACTAACTAGAATAAAAATCTTGTGAATTATGAAACAAATTATATTTATTAGTCAATACTTCTGCGGTGGCTTGGCCCGGTCGTTCGCATGTAAACAAACATCGGTCGCTATGCGATTTACACGACAGCTTCGTCACTGCGTGCGTGTCGCTCTCGAGACCGCATGTCCCCACTCCTGACTCTGTCACTGTGTGCATGTCGTTCTCGCGAACGCGTGACTCAGGGACCGTGCTTGGAGGGCTAAATATTTCCATTTCATCTCTACTACTGCTTCGAACCTTTGTCAACCAAAATACGAAGTTGAGCTACCGTGGCTCGTCCGGAAATTTATGAGGTGCAGAAATAGTATCCCTCAGAAGATTTCCTGGACACTACTGCTTACATGTATTAGTACAGTTCGTCTGCATGAAGAAAGTGTGATATTTCGAAAACTTATATATTTTAGGCCACATTTATTACTTCATAGTAGCATAAACCTTCTCCATCGAATTTTAATATCTCCGAAACAATATCCTCTCCAGATTTTCAGCAATTTCGTAATTTATTTTAATATTTAGTGCGTATTCAATAAGTGTACTAATCTTGTGAACAGTGGTGTTTATAGGTGGTATGAATAAAGGGTTAATAAGTATAGATATAACATCGTACTTACAATTGGGAACCTCTTCGCCGTGTACGCCGTTCCTCATCGGGAACCAGAATTGGAGGTTGAGGGACCACCGTAGGTGGTACCACTGGCACCGGGACTGGCACTGGAACTGGCACTGGAACCTGCATCGGCACCGACGCTGCGTCCAAGTTCATCATGCTTTCATCTTCGGCTCCGACTTCATACGGCATCACAGGCTTCACTGCACGAAACGATGACCGCCGGCTGGTTGGTCTTTCCTCTGGTTTCCTGTTACCTAAAGACAGAAGGTTTTATCCCATGAACATGTACTGTCTTCATATAATGGGACAAATGTGCCTTTCAGCACTGGTTAAACCTTTTGACTTAGCTAACGTCCAATCTCAATTGGATTTTTGGCACTTGTGATACTGTCACTACGATCCCGTTTCTAATATTCTTCATTTTCTGAGCTTTCTATCCTATTGTGTTGTACTACGAAATCTTTGACCTGCTAGCCACTATATTCCGCGATCGCACAAGTTGAATTACCTTTTTTGTTTGTGAGTACTTAGGTTGATAGATGACACGAATTTATTTACAGAGATTGACTATACGATGGTTAAATTTCGACTGACGATTCTAACTTGATGTGGCGATATGAAAACGTACGAACAAGGTGGACTTTTCTCTATTGATTATATCATAACAAAAATGTAGGTGAATCCTTTACGGGTAATTGGTAGCTTCGATGCTATAGAAGTGTCACATTCAAACGAGACAGATAAATGGAACAAGATACTTCCTTACTCGTGGTTACGTAATGTTCTTGGATTCCTGAAATCTGCCTCCGTTAAAAATTAGTACAAGGACCATATACAATATTAATCTAATCGCATGGCTTGCAGCTGTCCAGAAATCTAGATTCGCGGGGTTTGACGACAATAAAACAATTTAGACCCTTGAGGTCCTAATCCCTTTACTTCGCGACGCGATAGATACTTCTGGTTTGAATTTTTGACTTTTATTGAAAAATATAATAATTTAAATGACAATGTAAGTGTCTCTTCACTCAGAGACATAAGGAAACTTGAAGGTTGGAATAGTAAGGTAAAGTTAATATACAAAGAATATTAGTTACCTACTAAATTAAATTATTTGCTTTCCTGGGTATTTTTGTAAATGTAATAACTACAGCTTCTGAAATTGGTTGTGTTAGGAGATAGAAAAAAAAAATCATAAAGATGTAATACCTTTACTCTTTCTCTTTAGCACAGTTCAATCTATTTCTACTTATGGACCTCAAAGCAAAAGTGTATTGACTTCAATCTTTTTTAAAAAGTGAAATTTTACGTATTTCCCGTATCAAATGTTCCACTCTTTAATTAAAAAGTAAAAATGTTATTAGGTCCATATCTTGTTCCGAGCCAAATAGTGTAAAATTCATCAGACTTAATGCAATTCTAAATTCTACATATCGAGACTTGTCTAAAGCTTAAGTCCATTGAATAGTTCGAAGCTAGTGATTGTTTCTGGGTAAATTCTTACCGAATGATTCCAAAGTTACAAGGTTCTTTGAACCTTTGATTTGATATCTTCTAAAGTTTGAAAAGTGTAACTTACTACAATCTGGGGTCCAGAATCAGTAAATATTTCTTTTTTTGTTCAACCTGACGCGCCTATTAATACTAATAGTTTCTTGCTAATACAGAAGCTCCTGCATTTTGCATTTCCAAGATCATCGATTAGTAATTGAATTTCATAGAAAGAAATTGTTTACCTTCTGCTATACTACATTTCGTGCCAGAATTTTAAACTTCCTAAATACATACTATTTATTCGCTCAGTATCTCAGGATGAATGGGATACTTTCTTTTCAAAAGCAGGTAGAATTTATACATTTATTATGAACAGACTTTGGATTTTAGACACCCTTAGAACATACGAATATAGAAAGCATAACGAGTCAACATTTCAGTAATATTTTCATAATATTTTAACCTCAATAATTTTAATTCAATAAACTCGTCAGCTGCTAAAATAAATATTTCTCTCGTATTGATTTCTGAAGAATATGTTGTGGAAATGAAAATTTACATTTTGTATCAAATTATAACATTTTTTTATACAGAATCATGTATGCTATTAATAGATAAATTACGTAGACTTTTTAACATGGATCAATAATGTAATATGTATTTACAGTACTTTCACGTTAACGAAGGATATGCAGATTAACATTCGGAATGAAGATTAAAGTTTGCGTCTGACCAAAATTCAGCATAGTTAGACGTGGATTGTCACGTGGACATAGATGTAACTAACTAGGAACTGTAGTTCCTAAGGAAGCTAAACTCGATTACACGGTCGTAGGACTTTCGCGTCGTTGTAAGGACTGCAAAAGGCACGAGGAAGATAATCGAGTGGAACTTCTGAAACTACCCTGTGGCCAACCGTTACGGTCAAAATATAACATACTCGCGTATCTTGTCACACGAGACTGGCAATACTATTCGAGGAGGTAATTTGAAAATTTGCGTAATAAAAACCAGGATAATAATCTAAATGTAAATTTTTGGCAAATCAACAGAATCTTATATAAATACATAGAATGATTTCCCTATCTCGACGACTTGAAATTGTATTAAACAAAAGTTGCATGGTTTCCAGGAGAACATAGGTTAGAATAAGTTTTTTTTTCTACATTGGTTACGTACAATGTATTGAAGGTTACCATATTTTTTAAAATGGAACACCCTATATTTCTTTACGCAAATTAAATGAACATTAAAAACAGAGTAATGAGGCATTATGGGTCTAAAGTGGGTATTTCTGGAGATATTTACAACGAAATTTTTATTATAAAAAAATGGTGGAAAAGTACTAATACAGACATCTAATCATTTGATAGATGACACATACACATTTTAAAGTGCATTTCTGTAGATTTTTGCACGTGCGCTAATAATAAGTTTTTGTATATTTTTTCAAGTCATCGATGGTTCATTACAATTCAATAAAAATCCCATTACAAATATCTCAATAAATATCCACTTTAGACCTACATATTATGCCTGAGTTTCTAATGTTCATTTAATTTCCGTAAATAAATGCAGGGTATTCCATTGAAACAAATCAAGGTAACCTTCAAAACTTCATGTGTTAACATTATAGAAAAAGATAATTATTCTAATATTTGTCCCCCTCGAAACCGTGCAACTTCTGCGTGATGTACTTTCTCGTAAAACGAATAGTTTATGAGTACTTTCAAGTCATCAGGTTAGGGAATCATTGGGGATTCAGTGTATATTTCTTAAACTGTGAAAGAAAACACTAAAAATATCGTTCAATACAGATACACGCCATTATTAGAGAATATTTCATAATAAGTAAAATAAAGAATTTTGTTTAAAAGAATTGAATATAATAAATTTAATAAATATTTAAAAATGAGTGTTTATGGGTATAAATACCAATTAGAAAAGTAAAACGGAGCAACTAATATGAGAAACAAAATATTAAAACTCAAAATCGGACGTACGTGCAATTAAATAAATATAAATTGTTTAATAATTCGTAGAAACTGTTCAATTGGAGGTACGCACACACTCGGTAAACTGTGGAAAACATTCTCTTCAGTTATCATTGTAATGTATGTTATTTCGTTCAATTTGATTGCATTATTCTGAAAATGCTTCGAGATTGCAAAATATTTTCAGTGAAAACCGACAAAGTTATGTTTTGTAAATTATCGAGTGTTCTGTGAAATCGCATTCGATCATTTGGAGCGCCGACACTGAAAAGTTCTGCGTAATGCGATTAATAATTGAAACCTGTTGGCCGCGTTATCCTAATGGAAAAGTGCAATTTATCAACTGCTTAGATGCGCCGTCGTTAATTGAAACGGGATTAATTAACACATTCGGTGTATCGTGATCATTGCATGGTTATCCACGCATGTTCCAATTTCAAATATGCGTTTAAAAGGTGCATCAATTCACCTAATGAGGATATCGTTTCTATCGCCTCAATTAAAAATTTATACGTTATAAATGTATTATCGATTGCCCTTATACATTTAATATTTTTTACAGAATTTCAGAACGTCCAGAATATTTATTTATTCCGATTGACGTACTTCTTACAAGGGAAGTTCGGTAACCCGAAAATTCCGATTTTTCTCAAACTTTGCAGGTTTGTAGGGGACCTCAAGAGAAGTATAGCGCAATATTTGTTTTTGGCTTCAGTTCTTTTTCACTTTCAGTTCTTCAGGGTGAAAATATTCCTTGAAGGTAGATAGGTGTTTCCATATTTCCCTGTATATCTTTAAAACTATTGTAGATGTAAAAAAATGGTTATAATAAAAATTGAATGGTTTTTTATGCTCTATAAAAATAATTTTTTTAAATAAAAACATCCCCCTCCCCCATTTTTATTCATTATCAATTTAATAAATTTTAAATTGAACACAATAAATTTTATGATACCTACATGGTATCAAGACCAAATACATATTCAATTAGGAGATGAACCTCATCAAAGATTAATAATGCTTACATCAGTAGGCTACAGAAGGTGTCTAAAAGGGTCATAGATTTATTCTCCAAAAACTCTTTGGACTTGAAACTAACACAGCATTTTTAATGATGTAAACGAAGTGTTTTTTTCTTCGTTTTACCTTCCCAATCATTTCCATTAACACTTTGCTTACTGCATTTTGAAGTTAACTACTAGTTATCAACAACATAATACATTATGTCTCCATAATCCTAAAGATTATAATCGGTATTGAACTAATGTACTTAGCAGGTACTCTCTTCTGTCACAATCGATTGATACCATTAATTTTTAAATCAGACCTTTCTAGGTGAGGATATCAAAAAGTTCGCGGAATGAGGCTGTCATTTTGTTTTACGAAGTCACAGTGTAAAACGACGAATTTTCGGAATAAAGTGAAGTGTTCTTTGTTGAATTCCAGAATTTTATTTTAGTACATGATTTTATACCATTTAATTGCGCTTGTTTTCGAAAAGTCGTTTTTTAAATAACGGCAAATATGAATTTCGAGATACGTGCAAAAATGAAATTTTTAACAAAACTTGCTTGAAAAACAAGTGACCACCCAATAGGTCCGATCGCACTTCTTCGGACTTTTTCCTCTTTCCTGAGTTGAAAAAAGCAATCAAGAGTAATTCACTAGGAATCTCCCAAAGCTGTACAGCAGCCTGTTGTAAACTGGTTTGGTTCAGATTTATTTAAATTTATTAAAATTTTATTAAAATCTTCCTCGACCTCTTTGATATCCCTACGTATTTCTGTGTTTACTGGAGAAGATTGCCGGTATTATTTTCATGAATGATTCGACCACGAAAATGTAAGAATGATCAATGAATAACACAACATTTTCACGATAAATCTCTCGAACTCCTTTTCGTATTCCACACACAAAAGCTCCGTTTCAATAATGAATGCGCGCATCTGATGCGCCGTAAAAGAAAAGCCCGTCGTCCGTAGCCGATTTGGATTCCAGGCCAGCAGACACATTAATTCCGTAAATGTAATGAACAGGCGGTCCCCTACCTTGCGCTGAAATCGATGCTCTCTGTTGGGCAGCTGCGATCGCTATGGCGTTAACACCGACTCCTGGTGCAGCGTAAACATCGTAGGCCGAGGCCCGCCTCGGTAACATCGTCGGGAGCCTGAGGCTAGGCTCCTGTTGCTCGAGATATCCGGCGCTTGCGGCCATCGCCACCATGTTCTTCATTTCGTCGTCGTACGACCTTTGCCTGGTTATGCGGGATTTAACACGTACTGTACTGCCTCGACGAGCCCTACTACGACGGTCCTCTTCCTCGTCTATGTCGATAGCCATTCCTCCTGACGGATCTGTTAACATAGCAAATGGAAACATCACTTTAAAAGTAGAACACATCGCAGGTTGTTGCCAGACCTGGGCATTTCACAGATGATATTATTTGAAATATTATTTTTTCAAATAATATGTTATTTATTATATGCTTGTATTATATAATTGTAGCAATAATAAATATTATTTCAAATAATATGTTATTTTATTTCATAATTATTTCCATGCCTGTGATCACGTCTGAGATAATTTTATTAGAAATATTATTTCAAATGACATGTTACTTTATTTTTTAATCATTTGAAACAATTCTTAGAAATAATTGTGAAATCGTTCTTCGAAATTGTTTCAGGTGACTAAGTCTGAGTGATTCCATTTTCCACACCAGTGAAACGATTATTTTCTTTCGCGACAATATTAGGTGGACCCACGCAAAAATCTCTCACGGATGAGATTTTTGAAGAGCGGGTTCTGCTTATAGTAACTTGCTGTAAAGATTTCTTAAAATAAAATCTTTTCGTTGCATATTATTCTGAGTATTATTTCTTTTGCCAAATTTGAAATGCAAAAGTAACAAAATAATTCATAATTGGAAATTACTATTATTTAAAATGAATCGACAACATTTTTATTTTTAAATAACAGTGTTGGAAATAAAGTTCCGAAATAAATTATTTCTTACTTTTATTTCAAATCAAATTTGCCCAGGTCCGGTTGTTGCAGATGAAATAATCGTTTTATTATCGGCACTTGATATTATATTGACATATTCTACGAATTTCCGTAGACAAAGTAAGATTTTAATCCGCTAACTGCATTTGTCCACTACAGCAGACGCCTACTTTATCACTTTAGTGACAATACCTGAAACATTTCTTAACGATTGACAGTACGAAACCTCTTTAAGTCCCTTTCCCCTTTAACGGCCGGGAAAAAGGTGATATTCAAGAATTTTTTTGAAGAAAGCAAAAAGATTATGGTAAAAACATTTGCTAACCCTAATTTATTGTACACTTAGCTAAATTATAAAAATGTGTGTTTCAATATTCCTGCATTTTAGGTGGCGCTAATCGAATTGATCCGAAATTGAACAGTATACAAAGGGTGCCCATCATAACGTAAGTTATTAATCGATTTTTAAAATTCTTGTGGTATTCTTTTTACAATCAAATCAGCTATCGTATGACCCAGTATTGGAAATTTGGTATCATTCATTCTTTTGTTATTCACAATAATATGTGTATAATTTTCTCCTTTTTTGCATGTGTCTGTTGAAACTCATACCAAGCGCGGCCATTTTATTTCATCGACTTTATGATAGGTTGTACGATAGAGATTGGAATAACATTCAACAATCTATTTGAAATTTTGATTTCGGACTACTCTACATCGAAATATCATTGGCACCGTTTGTACAGTGCAATTTTGGATCAACACGATTACAGTGAATGTATAGTAAATAAAGGCCAGAAACCTTATTTAACATAAATTCTTCTCTTTCTTTAAAGAAAATTCTTAAATACTTTTTTTTTGGGCCGCTGAAGGGGAAAGTGGTCTTAAATGACATCCAAACATTAAAAAAGCGGTGTTACTGTGACTACTACCTAATTCATTATGTATCGCGAGTAAACACCTTGTTTACAAGAAAAAATATTTTAAAGAATCTTATAAATAGTCTTAAAATCATTATTGGTTTTTGATTTTTGGAAAAGACCAGTTTGTACGAAATACCAGAAAGATGCCATGAGCTAGTTAAATAAACTCTACATATACAGGGTGGGCCAAAGTTCGTGGTACAAGTGAAGTCAGGGAGATAATACGGCTCAAAGTAAGACGAACATCAGGAATAACAAAATTGGGTGTGAGGTTTCATTTTTGAAATAATCAAATTTGAATACTTATCTACTGGATATGCGTGCAATTAAATAGGACTTGGCCAGCGCGTCTGTTCATTGCACTCCGTTTATACTTACTATAATACAATACCAGGACGAATACATGCGTTTCTGATTAACTTTCACATTCAATTTTCTCGAAAACGAAGCCTCCAACACAATTTCGTTATTCTTGATTTTCGACTCCAATTTGAGCTATTCTATCTCCTTGACCTTATTTGTACCAGGAATTTTGAGCCACCCTGTAAACGCTTTGCAGTGAAATACAAATGTTACATATACATATGTTACATTCATCGCATAATTATTGCACTGAATTTGAAGATGACTCTTCAAAGACGTTTTTAGCTGCTATTTTTCCGCCGAATGTTGTAATCGGTAAATAGTTTTAACAAAAACTTACATTCATTTTCATAATTTTTATTTATGACTTTGGCTTGAATGACCATCTTTTAATACATGTAGAAAGGAACTCGATAACGCATGTCGAATAAATCTCAATGTTCTCATCCAGTTAAATTTTCGCCTTTTTTAAAAATTTAAAGTAAGATCGATCGCAATTTGTCCATTTTTCAAGGATTCTTTTGCAAAACTTTACACGTGGGTTCGGATAATGAAACGATTTTGATAGATGCTAATTAATTTGCATTGAATGATCAATCATTGAACAGTAATAGACACAATAATAGTCACGTTACATTAATATACATAATAATAATTACTAACATTAGTAATGTTAGTAATACTGCCTAATAATACTGCCTCAAAATTGAACTAGTAAAACATCGTTCTAGACCACTGTGACACTACGTAGGCTACGATGTACACCCTACACGTATACTGTAAGTAATTAACATTTTTCATAAATCAAGTTAATGTTATTTGAATTAGTACAACGTAATTTAGTAGAAAATGTAGTATGTATTAAAATTTAGCTGACGATTTTTTATGACGTGTATATTGCAAGAAAGTCACACAAAGACGTAACAAATAAGGAATAACGTTTCCGTTCCTAAAGAAGTTTGCTTGAAATGGAAGAATGCTATTACCATAAAGAAAACACACGTTGATGTAAAAGAAAACAGAGTGTACTGTACAGAGAACAAGCATTCTTACCAACGACGGAAGAAGGTTCGACAGTCATCCTCTGGGGGCTGATACCTCGGCCCCTATCGACCTGGTGGCGATCCGGCGACGTTGCTCTGGACTTGCTTTTGCGGTCCAAGTCTCGTTCCCATCGGAGATCTTCCCGGCGTTCCCCTGCAACCTTTCGAAACTATAACATTACGACACACGGATTAGAGTCTCGCAGGGAATGACACCATTGCGTGATGGAATTATGAAGGTGCTGGGCGTGACATCGGGGGGAGAACAATTGTTTGCTGACGTGAGAAGCTATGAGTCGCGAACACATTATTCGATGCGTCTGCAAATGAGAAGCAGTAACTTTTACGACTGGTATGATCTACTAGACTGCGACTGTTTATGCAAATACAGATTTTTATGAACTAATTTGTAGAGGTTGGAATAAAACGGAAGTTTGTTCACTCTGTTAAGGGTTCCATCAAGTTTGACAGAAAATTAATACTTGATTTAACCCCCCCGTAGGCAATCTTGGTTGTTGACGAACCAAGCGAAATCCCATTTTCCTGGACATACTTTCGAATTGTTGTTTTCTTTGTTGAAAAAAGTTTTAAACATTTGACTTAACGAACGATTGGATAATGCGATAGAGACTTTGATAAGTACCCTGAATTTGTTTAGATTTTTTTATTAGAGCGGTACAAAAATTATGTTTGGACATAAACGATCCAGTTTGCTTACGATATGTGAAAAAATGTTTGCCTATGGAGGGTTAACTTTGATTAATGTTATTATTACACTGAGATCTGAATGATCGTGTACATTATAGATTCATGAAATCTGCAGTCTAATGACCATATATTATATTAACATTTTCGAACATATTCTTGAAGCTCAGTCTGTAGACTACGAATATTTATAAGTACAGATTCAAGTTTTTACATGCTAATGGGTGTATGCAGAAATGATTACAGTTTTTCCATTGCAAATCTTTAATAATATCGAACGATTACTGCAGCATTTGTTACATGAATTAGTTCCCCTGACATTCATAATTTTTCGCCACTTTTTTTGGTAACAGTTCAATTTCCTGTCGATGACAGAAAACAAAACTGCTTTAAATGCGATGGTTACTAGTTTCGCATACACCTAATTGTTTGTAAAAACAGAAGTTAAATAAAATTATGTTTTCAATATTAAGAACTTAATTGCATTATAAATGAATTTAAAATTACACTGAAACCTTTACTAATGTTTCTTCTTATAAATGTATTTTGGTCAATATCTATATCGATTATAAATTCATAATATCCGTAGTCTACAAATTGGTGATCTGCATTCTGGAAAAGACAACGAAACAATATGACAATACGTTGTAATCTGATGTATGATGATAAAGCGAAACGATACAAGCCACGTTTCTAAACAAATTTCAATTGATGGCTTAATTAAGGTTTACAGAATATGATTTGTGTTTCTGTAGGAAACGAAATGCGTTGGAAAGTTGTGTTCTATTTTTCACTGTCTGTGTAATGTAAGTTACAATTTTTTGTAATTTTTGACGCATTTGGGAATTATTCATTTCCAGGCTTAATTCGTTAAATAAATTTTGTCATTCTAGTTCGTAAGAAAATAGTAAAAAATAAGGTTTATCTCTATTTCAATGTATGAAACAAATAACAGAATATCCAAAGGTCTAAGAAAATTCGATACTATTTAAATAGTGTATAATACTACATAAATACATAGTACATGTTTTCTATATGTCATTATGATAGTTCGAAAATGTTTCTTACAAGTTGTTAAGTTTAAAGTTTCCAGTAATTCAGCAGAAATAATTACGCAGATTAGTAAGTGTTCGACGTGACTACAGAAATGTTCCTGTAATAACGCCAGAGTAATTAATATTATTAGAAACGGAAAATCATACAAATGTTAACTTTAAACCAATTAGAACTTAACGGAATCATTGTTAAATATTGTCTCGCAAAATGAAGAAAGAGTATTATACGAACAAATAACATATTCTACGTTATCTATTACTAAAAATCTATTTTCAAGTCTAAGTAATAACTCGATTTGTGTATCACATACGAATATCTTCAATAAGTAAATAAAAATATATAATATAAGAAATTATAACTATTATTAAAAACTAATGAACAATTAATTATCATGTTTCTTTTATTCTCATATTTATTCTATTTAAGATCAATAGTTCGTAAAGTAATACGATTGCAATAAAAAATATCGATTTGCCCTACGGGCGTAAGCCTCATTAAAGAGGATTTTAATTAATTTTACATTAAAATAATGCTATGCAGTTTCAGAATTCTGTAGAAATAATTTATTAAATTTATTGATACCTCTTTTATTTGTAATCGTAAAGCCACATTACACGATCACAGTTGCAGAAATTGATTACCTGATATGTTATCATTTGCTCCTCGAAATGAAAAACTCGGGAAATTATAAAAGATGTGAAATATACAATGTGTGTACAATATGTATACACAGTGTTCACGCTATTACTGGCCAACGCTTTTCTTGCAAATAGTAAGTATTAGAAAAAAAAACGAAAGAGAACTTAAATTTGTTGAATGAGTCGTTGCATATTTTTTTATGTCATATGAAAGCTTGTGCCAAGACCAATTCATCCGTGTGCTATACAGGGTGTTTCAGCTAACTTGATCACCTCGAATAATCACTTAACGCTACACTTTATGAATATTTCAACGCATGGAACCTAAATGACACCAAGGGGCACATCTTATAGCGCTTTTTTTGTGGGTGGAGGTATTTCGGAGATTTCAAGGTCACCTTGATTTTTTTTAAAATGACCTATTTTCTGTACCATAGATCGATAGAGTGTCAAATTCTGAGTAACAACGTGTTGACAGTTATACTTCCTGAACCTAATAGTTAATGAGATATTTACAAAATAATTTTTAATACGTAGGTACTTACTATCTGGAAGATATACATAGGTGCTGAAACTGATGCTCCTCAATATCAATACAGCGATTTCAATACAGTGATTCTTTTGTAAAAGTTTTAAGACGTGTGAAGGTCAACGCATGTCTACTTAGAATTTGATAACTCTATCGATCTATGACACAAAACATAGGTTATTCCGTTAAAAAACATCAAGGTAACCTTGAAATCTCAGAAATGCCTCCACTCACAAAAAAAGCGCTATAAGATGTGTCCCTTGATGCCATTTTCATCCCACGCCTCAAAATTTTCATAAAGTGTACCGTTAAGTCATTATTCGTGGTGATTAAGTTAGCTGCGACACCCTGTATACTGAGTGAACCACGAATCGTGATCAGTAGAGATTACTCTGTTATTAGCAGTCCGATCGAAAATCTTTTTATCAGGTATAGCATGGTTTCAAGAGAGCATTAACATGATTATAGCAAATTTTTTGTCAACTCTTTTTTTCATGATTTTTCAAGGTCACCTTCAATTGTTTGCAAATATACCTATTATTTTTTTACGCCTATCTGTTAGAGGATTTCAAGACGAATTCGATAAGTATCATAACATAACATGTATTACTTTTTTCTTCATGTGGGTCGAGAAAAGATTAAAGAAATATTCGATCTCTAATATTACAAAGAGTATCGTATGCTACGCCATTGTACGCGTTCCGACGTTGAGCTCTTCCCTACTGTTCGTAAACATTTCGTTCTGTACATTGGAACACATCTAATGATATTTACTGATCACGATTCGTGGTTCACCCTGAATATTTACCAATGGCCTTGTCTTCCTTTCTGATCTTGTATGACCTTATAGGTCATTATACGTATAGCACATGGATGAATTCGTTTGAACACACGCTCTCATGTGACATGCAAAAGTATACAACATTCTAATTAAAAAATTAAAGGTCTCTTTTGTTTCTCGAAAAATATTGCAAATGTAAACACTTGATATAGGCTTGATTGATCATAGAAAGCTGCAAAAGATTTTCTTCTTCCATCTTTTCTAATACTTACTATCTACGAAAAACAAGTGTTGGTTGGTGTGACACACTGGCCAATAGCGTGAACACCCTGTATCCTTGTCAAATCCTAGTGTCTGTTATAAATACCTATAAGACTGCAATTAGAGTCCATAGTCTACATATTTTATTATTTATATAATACAAGGAATGTAGTAATTGTTCCAAATATGAGGTTTTTATACACATCATTTACCTACTTAAAACATCGAAAGAATATTCAGAAAAAAAATATTATACATATTATACGATACAATAAATACTTTTCTTGTCAAACTCCAACAACTTTTACGATTATTTTCCTGTTAATCGTGTTCTTTTTGCCACCACCGCGCAGCAAACTACCTTAAATTCGCTCGAATCCTTCAGATTTACAGCGTGTTGTCAACAGTACGTCACTCGTACCGGAAAATCACTGACGTTCCCCGCATTGAAATTGAAAGGTCTCGTTCGAAAAAGGACGACCGCGGTGAAGTAAATGCAGCAAATCCAGTTTTTCCGATGTCGCGACCGTACATAGATGTCACTGTATCAAGAACGAACGAACGCGCGTGGCCATTTTACCAGTCGCGAAAGGAAATTCGTTATTTACGGCCGGGAAAACGATTGTGTCTGCGCCTGACGCTCAGATCCGATTCGTCCGCGGAATTATTGTTTATCTTCCTCCTGTTAATTGGTATCGACATCTCCATCCTGGCCAGTATTCCATCGATCCACGAATTTCAGGAGGGTGGGGGGGGGGGCAAAAGCCTCAAGCCGCGAGCAAATCGCTGATCCGATTGGAGGAATGTAATCGAGGAAATTGCGTCAGATTTTAACGGCAACGGCGGGATCTAATTTTGCAGATTCGCGGGACCTAATTGGAAACGGTTTCGAAACGCGCCACGTTTTAGACCCGATATATTTGTCGCGAGGTATTGACAACGAGTTCGGTTGTAATTCGCGCGAGGCTACGTCACGGGACGCTCCCTTCAATAACACCTCACGCGTTATACGATTACACGTGATCGATTCGACGCCCATTAATCTGCTCGTGAAAACATTAAAATCCGCAATTTTTGTTTTTCTTCGGTTTAAGAAATTTTCAAAAAATCGATTTTTCACTTTCTCCCATTTCTTTAAGTACAACATCTCGAGAATATTCTGTGCAAGTTTCAAGGTAATCCAATTAAAAATGACAGAGT